GACAAGAATGCGCCCTTCAAGCAGTGCAGTTACGTATCCACGAAGAACGGAAAGAGATGTCCCAGTGCTGCCCCGAAGCCAGAGAAGAAAGATGGGTATTTATAATTTTTTTTTAGTTGAAATTTACTTGAGTTCAATTTTATGCAAGAGAGTGAACCCCGGACACACCAAGAGCCCTCAGTTCCTTTAAAGTGAAGGGCTGGGCTCTGTGACGTGGGGCTGGGGTGCAACAGCCCTTGAGGGTCACAGGCTTGGGGTTGTGGACGGGGCTCGGGAGGCTACGTGGCTGACAACTGGGGGGGTCACTCGAGTCGGGTCCCTTCGGATAGTTCTGCTCTGCATCTTCTCCCTGGCCCGTGAGCTGAAGGGGTTCTCATTTACCTACTGCTGGCTGTCCATGTGTCTTGTTAAGGAGTATACCAAACTGTGGATCTATGAATTTGGGACGAGACATGCAGTTTCGCTTATACAAAGGTGTCCTTTCAGAATTTTCTGTGTATTCTCTAGTTTAAAATTGTGTGCACTTCTTGCTACATACGATGGATTGTTACTAAAGTATGCCTTCCAGAATTCTGAAAAATGGGAGTGGTGCTCTGATATGTTAGGAGATAATGTCACCATCTTTTATAGATGGAATGCTTGTTTTGATGGAGTTCTGGATTAAGCTACCTGCATTTTCTTTTCAATAGTACTAAATGTGGGCTTAGCTACCATGCATGGGATCAAACCCAGGGTCATGCACAAGAAAACAAAATCAAATGGGTGATGGTGGCTGAATTCCTCAGATTTCACTAGCGTTTTTAGGAGTTAAAATGATAGTCATTTTGATCAATAAGATCATTAAACACTTTCAAGAGGGAACCTATAAGATACTAATATTTGTCTCCGTAGTGTGTCGTTCTGTGCTGAACATGCCCGAAGGAATGCTCTTGCACTGCATGCTCAGATGAAGAAGACCACCCCAGGGCCTATGGGGGAAGCACTCTTGTGCCAGCTGAGTTCCTATGCAAAGACGGAGCTGGGGTCTCAGACTGCAGAAGGTATCCGTAGCGAAGCCAGCCGAATACTGGAGGAAGACAGCTGGAGTGATGGGGACCAGGAACCCATTACTGTGGATCAGACATGGAGAGGTGACCCTGACAGTGAAGCTGATAGCATAGACAGTGACCAAGAAGATCCCTTGAAGTAAGTCGTAACTCCACATAAAGCTCTTGTGTATCTTACGTAGTTCACTGTGGAATGTGGTATGATATGTAGATCATTAACTAAGGCAGGTTGAAGATAGCTTTTGTTTTTGTATCTGGAGTTGAACTCAGGACCTTGTACTTGCCAGGGAGCCACTTATGCCACTGAGCTATCTCTCTGGCCCTGAAGATAGACAGCTTTGTGTGCAGAACAGTTTCTGTGTATTACAGTGTTAGGGTTCATCATGCCATCTCTGTTCAGGGCAAGATTTTTCCTGTTCTTTATTTTTGTGGTATCGGGATTGAGCTGAGGGCCTTCACACAGAGCTGCATCCCTAACCCCTCCTCCTCTTAAAAATTGAGAGAAAGTTTTGCTGAGTCCATAAGGTGAGGCTCAAACTTGCCATTTTCCTGCTGTGGGCAACACCATGCCTAGCTAGCAGATTTGCTGTTTTTGGGGGTAGGGGTAGAAATCTTTTTAACTTTTCTTTGGGTGGGAGGGTGATCAATCTCAGGACCTTACTCTGCCAGGCAGGGGCTTATACTGCTGAGTTATTGCCCAGGCAAGTCTTTTTTTAAAATGTATTTAGTACAGAGTCTATAGGGTTTCACTACACAGATCAGACTTACACTGATTCTTCTGTTTTTCAGCCTCCCCCTAGCGCTGTGCCACCACGCCCAGTCTCAGTTGGGTCTCAGTGTGCCCCAGGGGCGGGGTTGGCACTGCAGCCCGGGGATTGAACCCTCTGCCCCTGCATCTGCCTAAGCAGGTGGTTTAATCTGCTGAGCTATCTGCCCTCCCCCAAGTCTTCTAACTTTATGGGTTTTTTTTGTTGCTGTTGCAGGGTCTCACTATGCAGCTTGAACTTTTAGTGATTCTCCTGTTTTCAGCCTCCCCAGTGCTGGGATTATAGGTGTGCACCACGCCTGGACTCAGTCTCAGTCACCAGCTCAGTGCACCCAGGGGCAGGGCTGGCGCAGGTGTGGCATGGTGCCAGGGATTGAATCCCGGCCCCTGCGCTTGCCTAAATAGGTGCTTAGTCTGCTGAGCTATCTCGCTGGCCTAATGTTTTTTTTTCAATCTTTCAATATTTATTTATTTACTTTGGTAGCAGGGATTAGACTTGGGTCCTTGTGCTTGCCAGGCAGATGCTTAGACCACTGAGCTATCTCCCTAGCCCCAAGTCCGGGGAGATGGCTTGGTAGAATAAGCGCTTCCCTGGCAAGCGCAAAGGCCTGAGTTCA